CAGCGCCCTAGCCTGGCCCTGATGCTTCTCTGAAGCAGCAATCTCCAGAGAAGTCAGAAGGCAGACAGAAAGAGTCCACTGCCAAAACTCAGACTTCCCCTCTCCCCTGCCACCTGGCCTCCTGCAGGCTGGTTCAAAGACCAAAGGCATTTCTCTCAGTCCCAACTGAAGCAGGAATGGGAGGAGGGGAAAGAGTTCACTTTCCCAGGCTCTACATGAACCTAAAAGGAGTCAGCTTGGCTGGCTGACCACATGCTGCCTTGGCTTACAGAGTCCCAGGCTCACGCACGCTGGAGACAGCCTGACTGGGCAAAATGCTATGCCTGCCCCTCAGCACACACGTACACACAGGGCCAGACCTTCTCTGACATCTCTGTTCCCCTTAACGCAACATTGAAAAGTCCTCTGCTTCTCAGAATGGAGGGACTATCATCAAGGGGTAAACTAAACATTTGCTAATTATGCAAGAGCCTTTGCCTTCTTAACTAAAGTCAGGATAGAAACTGCAGAGTCCCTGTCTTAAATAAAACATAAAGCCGAAAAAAAAAAAAAAACCTAAACGATCTGTCTGGAACATTTCCGCCACACACCCACCGTACCCCAATGGGCACTGTTCCCCGACTCCTTCAGGACAAACTCAAGTCCTTCTGTGATATATACTCCTACAGCATCCTGTCCTTTGCAGCATGCTGGGCATTTGTGATTGTCACCTTCTTGTCATTGACTGTGATTTGTGTAAAGTCTGCCTCCCCTGACAGACTGTAAGGCTCACGAGCATAGGGATCATGTCTGTGATGTTTCCTGCTACATCTTTCACGTGCCCTCGAAGAATATTCACTGCTTACCTGAAATGCATTCCAACTTCTTGGGTCTGTTGGGATCAAGGATACCACCTCTCTTAAGTCAAACTCAGAACCTGCCTAGGTTACAGAATTAAGAGCAGGCATATTTTTTTTTTTTTTTTTTTTTTGAGACGGAGTTTCACTCTTGTTGCCCAGGCTAGAATGCAATGGCACAATCTCGGCTCACTGCAACCTCCAACTCCCAGGTACAAGCGAATCTCCTGCCTCAGCCTCCCTAATAGCTGGGATCACAGGCATGTACCACCACACCCGGCTAATTTTGGATTTTTAGTAGAAACAGGGTTTCTCCATGTTGGTCAGGCTGGTCTCAAACTCCTGACCTCAGGTGATCTGCCCACCTTGGCCTCCCAAAGTGCTGGAATTACAGACATGAGCCACCAGGCCCGGCAAGAGCAGGCTTTCTTTCATGAAGTTGCAAATTGTCTACCTTGCCTGTGCTGAGTCATACCGGTCTCTAAATTTTCTTCCATAGTTACTGTCCCTCCTCCCACACAAGCCACATCTAGTCTTCCCTAAAAAGGTCATCATCATGTCCAGGGTAGCCCTACTTCTGAAGGATTATGGTTACACTACTAGGAACAAGGTAGGAGTAAAAATCAGACCAGTGATTTAATGGTATCTCCCTCCTAGGATTAGAGAATGTCACAGCTTGAGGCCCGGCGCAGTGGCTCACGCCTGTAATCCTAGCATTTTGGGAGGCCAAGGCAGGTGGATCATGAGGTCAGATCAAGACCATCCTGGCTAACCTGATGAAACTCCATCTCTACTAAAAATACAAAAAATTAGCCAGGCATGGTGGTAGGCACCTGTAATCCTAGCTACTCGGGAGACTGAGGCAGGAGAATCACTTGAACCTGGGAGGCAGAGGTTGCAGTGACCGGAGATCACACCACTGCACTCCAGCCTGGGTGACAAAGCAAGACTCCGTCTCCAAAAAAACAGAATGTCACAGCTTGAAGACAAGTGATCTAAGATCTCAGTTTACAGAAAGGAAACTGAAGCCTAGAAAGTGCACATGGATTGGGCCACCACGGTGGGCATTTTTGGTACACTTGGCCCTGCACTAAGTGCTTGCAGCAGATATAAACACCAACAATCAACAGATCCAGTCCTCAAAGATTGGACAACAGCTAAGGCCTTACTTACTTCCCCAAGGTCCTCTATCCACTATAGCCTACTTGCCAACTCCTTAAAAAAGAAGGAAAGAGGCCGGGCTCGGTGGCTCAAGCCTGTAATCCCAGCACTTTGGGAGGCCGAGACGGGCGGATCACGAGGTCAAGAGATCGAGACCATCCTGGATAATACGGTGAAACCTCGTCTCTACTAAAAAATACAAAAAAAACCTAGCCGGGCAAGGTGGTGGGCGCCTGTAGTCCCAGCTACTTGGGAGGCTGAGGCTGGAGAATGGCGTAAGCCCGGGAGGCGGAGCTTGCAGTGAGCTGAGATCCGGCCACCGCACTCCAGCCTGGGCTACAGAGCGAGACTCCGTCTCAAAAAAAAAAAAAAAAAAAAAAAGAAGGAAAGAGGCCTGGCACAGTGGCTCACACCTGTAATCCCGACACTTTGAGAGGCCAAGGCGGGCAGATCACCTGAGGTCGAGAGTTCAAGACCAGCCTGACCAACATGGAGAAACCCCATCTCTATTAAAAATACAAAATTAGCCAGGCCTGGTGGTGCATGCCTGTAATCCCAGCTACTTGGGAGGCTGAGGCAGGAGAATCGCTTAAACCCGGAAGGTGGAGGTTGTGGTGAGCCAAGATCGTGCCATTGCACTCCAGCCTGGACAATAAGAGCAAAACTCCATCTCAAAAAAAAAAAAAAAGGAAAGAAAGAGAGGGAAAAAAGAGAAAAAAAAGAAATAGACTACTACATAATGCTGACATAATGCTCATCCTTCCCAGAGAGAGATTTTCTCTGACAAATGGTATCAGAGATCAGAAAACAAGCTTCCAAATTCCTTCTGAGGTATCCTCTTAAAAGCAGAAGTGCACAAGATTCCTGTTTGTAGCCCCAGGTAAGGAGAAAAATGGAACATATCGCTGGTACTTACATCAGAGGAAGATCAAGGTAGCCAAAGACCCCAGAAGGTCAGACACAAAGACCACCGAGACAGGCAAGGATTAGGGTCAAGGCTGCCTAGAGCAAGCTGGAAAATGAGAGTAATAATTACAGGAGCAGGCCCAGGTATAGGCTTATGGATACTCATCTGACTCCAAGGCAAGTGAGCTCTTAGAAACCAGACAACTTAGAAAGAGCGGCCTGCCTTGCCTTTTTCACAAAAGGGCTAACAGTCTACAGATGAGTAGATTATAGGGGTTTGTGTGCCTATATCATCACCTCCATTCATCACCTCCTTAGTCAAGGCTCTGAACTGCTTTTCTCTCTAAGGATCTGAAGCAGGTATGCAAATAGCAGATGTTGGTTTTTGTTTTCTTTTTTTTTTTTTTTTTGAGGCAGGGTCTTGCTCTGTCACCCAGGCTGGAGTACAGTGGTGTGATAATAGCTCCTGGGCTCAAGTAATCCTCCAGCCTCAACCTCCTGAGTAGCTAGGACTACAAGTGCGCCACAGAACCTCTGGCTAAGTAAAAAAAAAAAATTTTTTGTAGAGGCAGGGTCCTACTGTGTTGCCCGGGCTGGTCTCCAACTCCTGGGCTCAAGTCTTCCTCCCCTTCAGCCTCTCAAAGTGCTGGGATTAAAGGCATGAGCCACTGCGCCTGGCCGCAATTACCAATTTATTGGGGTTGTGAAAATGAAATGAAATTTAGTATGAAACGTATTTCATTAGGAAGGATGTAATTTCCATACGGGCTGATTTTGTCCACTGCTGTGTCTCCAGCGTCTAGAACAGGGCCTAACACGTTTGTGCAAACTCTTCTTATAGTCCTCTGCATCAGGAAAGTGGTGGGAGGTAGCACTTCCCAACCCACCCCAGTACCCTTCTTGCTCTTCCTTGGCTGAAAATGCAGGCTCATTGTTGCCTCCTCCAGGACTACAGATGGTGCACGGTCCGGTCCAAAGCAGCTTAGCAAAACCGGCCAGAGGCTGGGCACGGTGGCTCACCACTTTGGGACACCTGTAGTCCCAGCACTTTGGGAGACCTAAGCGGGCGGATCGCTTGACCCCAGGAGTTCGAGCGCAGCCTGGGCAACATGGCGAAACCCCGTCTCTACAAAAACAAAATACAAAACATTAGCCAGGCGTGGTGGCGCCCACCTGCAATCCCAGCTACTCGAGAGTCTGAGGCGGGAGAATCGCTTTTAAGCCCGCGAGGCGAAGGCTGCAGTGAGCCGAGATCGCGACACCGCACTCCGGCCCGGGCGACGGAGCGACAACCTGTCTCAAAACAAAAACTGGGCCAATCCCCAAAACGCCTTTCACCTGTGCTTCAGCTCACCTCAGGGCTCAGGGCCAGCCCCAGGCTGCTTCTTGCCCTCCGACAGACGGTCTCCCCGCATCGGTACTCCCCTATCCCGGACGGCTCGTAACGCCCCAGCCCCTCGGCCTGGCACTCGCAGGCAATGGGGATCAGAGCAGAGGGGCCCATCTGCAGCCCCAGGGCACACTCCTCGCGCCACGTGGCTTCTGCAGGTGGAAGTCTAGCCCGCGCTGCAGCCCCGCCTGGACAGTCAGGACAGAAATCTCAGCTCCCTCCCGAGATGTGGGGATTGGAGGTAGACAGGGTGAGCGCCCTCGTCCCAAGGCCCCTTACCTGGTCCCGGGACAAATGCCACCAGTTACAGTCCGCCTTAGAAACCTGGCCTGGGGAGAGACCTGGGCGGGGGAACCGCCCCCATGCCCGCCCACGCCCCTCCTTTTCGACCAATCCCAGGCCTGGAGGCTCCCGCCAGCCACGTGGGCAGCCTTTCTCCACTCCCAGGTCCCAGCTAGCCGGCGGCCGCCTCTGCAGCTCCCGTAGCCCGCCCTCTGCGAGGGCGGGCGCCTTGGCGCGCTTGCGCACTCTGGAGAAAGCGGCGCTGCACCCCGCCCCGTACTGCTGCTCCACTCCTCCGCTGTGCGTGCGAGGGACGTCGGGGGCGGCGCCGCAGCAGTTGCCCTTGGTAACGGGGGAGGCAGGAGGAGGAGGAGGAGGAGGAGGAGGGACTCGGCGGGAGGATGGTGAGTATGGGGACCTGGGCCCCCTTGGAGCCGGCCAGTTACCCCCCTCCCGTCCCCAGGCCCAGGGCGGAGCACTGCGCTTAAAGCCAAGGAGGGAATGGGACGTCGCTCAGCCTGCTATCTGGGTTCTGCACTGATTTCGGGGGTCGGCGGGGAGCCCCAAGGGTGGGCCCTGGAGGGAGGCCTGGGCCTGGAGAGGAAGGCGGGGCTTGCGGCGGGTCCGAGGCTTGGGGAAGGGGCTGGCAGAGTGCGCGGCTGGCAGGGTGCGGAGCTCAGGCTCCATCATTACTCTGGGGACAGGGGTGAGGGCGGATCCCAGGAGGTGCAGAGAGCAGCTTTCGCTCGCAGGCTTAGACTTCCCGGGCAATCGGTCTCCCGGCGCTGCAGTAAAGTGGGGTTCGTCTGGAGCCCGGCCAGAAGCGGAGAGAAGGCCGGCCCCGCTGGCTCTGAGGTCGCCCTGGCGGTAGCAGGGGAGATGGTAGCCTAGCCCTCCTCCTTCTCGCGCTGTCTGGGCCCCGGGGGGTAGGGGAGTAAGTCCCAGGACACAAAGGGGAGCCGCTTGGAAGGGATGCCTGGTGGATTTTACGTCGTCTTGGTGTCTGCGTGGCGGGTGCGCTTCCTCAGTCCCGAATTATTTAGTTATTTGCTGAGAGTTGTGCAAGACCTGGTTGTTGGTGATGACCGATTTTTCATTCAATACTTAATCCATGTTGATGGAAGCATATTAGCTGCCCGGTCTCTGGAATTTCCTTCGAAACCTTTTGCAGTCTCCTCTTGCATGTGACCACACCAGGACCAAAAGATCTTAATCCTAGCTTGGGGTCTCCAAACTGAAAAGAACAAGATGTTAGAAATGGAGATCGAGCTTCAATCTGGGGCAAGCCTTTTCTCTGTCAGCCCTAATTAAAGCTTTCCCAAATTCTAAATTATGATTGTGACAGATATGACCGTTGACACTCTGTTTCTTGTTGATGTCTGTACAGTTAGTTGGAGGGAGTTAAAATGGAATTGAGTAATTTTAGAGCTATCAAAGAAAAATTGATTTTGAACCACTTAAAGCAGGTTAGTTGGCTGCAAAGAGCCTGTCATCAAACTTATAGTTAGTGCTCCACCTCTCTTCCTAGCTCCTTTCTTCACTTTTAGAAATGTTGAGCCATTTCTGTCAATTTAAGAAGTAAAAAATAAAAAATAAAAAAACAGCTAGATGCCCAGGAAGAAAAAGAAATAGATGTATGTTTGGTCAGATTATCCAGTGAGTTGCTTTAGATAGGAAAAAAATCTCAATTGATTTTACATTGTCAGATTGTTAAAGAAGTAGGGTTATTTGAAGTTGCCAATCACATTTCACACTTGCTACACTTGCAGTTTTTTTTTCTTAACCTCAGGCTAAACAGATTTTTACAACTGTTTCTTTTTCTTAATCATTTATACGTGAGCTGTCCGTTTAAAGGCTAAGTTTTTCTCAACAAATGAGTACAAACATAAATATTTACCCAGAAAATAGTTAGAATTGAAATGAAAAGGGCATGCCGAACCAACAGAGTTAAGATTCGTCATTATAGATGAGAAGTGCATGAGAGTTAGCTAACTTTTCCCAGTTTGTTTATCAATTAAGTGGACTGTGTAATTCCATGATTGTTTAATTTATAATTAGAGACCACAGTAAATTAACCACTGCCCATGTTTCCAGGTGCAAATTGGCACTTTATACAACAAATTGACAGTGTATATACAACACTGTTGTATACAACTGTTGTGATCAATGATGAAAACAGATTTTGTTTTTCTTTTTTCCTTTTTCCTAAGATGAACAATAAGAAATTAGGACAAATTATTCTGGATTCTTTATCTGGTTTCCCAAATACATTTTTTTTCTATCTCCAAAAGTGTGAGCTATTCTTAAAACTTGAAGTGAAACACAATTTAGTCAGTGGTGTGACTTAAGTGTGTCTCATCTGGTATCCCATGAGCCCCCAGGGTTAACTGTACAACTGAAAAGTGAACCCCAAGGATTTTTTGGTTTTTATTTCAAACGTCAGCTGTGACAAATACATATTTTTTTTCAAATTTGGGTAACTGTGGCAAAAACCCAAATATGGGTTTCTCTGAGCATTTAGTCAGCTATTTTATGCCTGCTTTACAATGCCAGGTTCTTGATGAATTACTAAAATGACAGTAATTTTAGCATATAACTATCCACTATTATTTAACATATGACTCCTTCGTTCAGTATTTATGGAGCACTTTCTACATATATGGAGCTTGTGGTCGTTCTCAAGCATGTTCAACATTTGAAGATTGTTCCCAACAGTTATTTATGTTTTCTAGTTAGAAAATGGCCAGTGAAAAATTATTTAAAAAACAAAAAACATGGGGGTAGTGTTTTGAGTGGCTGCTATGTGTCATGCTTTACATACATGACCTTATTTCATCCTCATGGCATCATCTCTTGAGATATAAGAGATACAAGATATAACAATAAGTATTGTTCCTATTTTCTTTTTTTTTCTTTGAGACGGAGTCTTACTCTGTCACCCAAGCTGGAGTACAGTAGTGCGATCTTGGCTTACTACAAGCTCCACCTCCCGGGTTCCCGCCATTCTCCTGCCTCAGCATCCACAGCAGCTGGGACTACAAGCGCCCCCACCACGCCCGGCTAATTTTCTTTTTGTTTTTCTTTTTTTTTTTAGTAGAGACAGGGTTTCATCGTGTTAGCCAGGATGGTCTTGATCTCCTGACCTCATTATCTGCCTGCCTTGGCCTCCCAAAGTGCTAGGATTATAGGCGTGAGCCACCGCACCCAGCCTGTTCCTATTTTCTAGTTGAAACTGTGTTCAGTGTTTTTTATATATATATACACACACACACATATACACATATAGATACACAGATATATATAGATATATATATGTGTGTGTATATACACACACACAGACACACACAGAAGCTGAATACAAGTCTGTGTAAAAGCCCATAATTGTTTCATTAGCACTCTGGTGAAGTGGGAACCCACTCTTCCTGAGGAGATGCCCAGACTTTTTTCCTCAGGAAACATTGTTTGTATTTATTTAGGAGAGGGTGATGAGAAAGAAGACACAGTTTGGATGAAGTTCTCAATTTTGAGCTTTAAGCTGATAGGAGTTTAGTTGAAAGACGTAAAAACAAACAGAAGTCAGTTATATTCAAGTTAGTTATGGGGACTGTATGTACTTGACGGTTGGCTTCGTAATTTCAGAATTTACATTTTAGCTGCTCCTCACAACCACATATATTTTCCATATACCAACACATTCCTTCCCCCTCCACCACTCTGGTTTCTTTGAATGACCTAGTTTGTATTGTTTTAGGTCAGTGCACCATGCCTCTGCCAATAGTTTAAGCTGATTTCAAGGCAGATAAAACGTCTGTAGTCCATAGCACATCTATTCATGATTTGACTGTAGAAAAGTTTGTTTAAATGTTTTGTGGTTGAGTCAAACCACTTCTGCCCACCAGGGTGCAGATAACTTATATACACACATGCTGGTAACACACAATATACTTTTAACTGAAGTTCATGTTTCTTAAATCGCTTTATTTAATGTCACAGGAATATAAATCCTACATAGACATCATGCCTGTTTTGCTCACTGTTGTACTTGGGGCACATTATGGGTGTTTAATGATAATTGCGTGAATGGATATTTTGGCCAAAAAATGCACTTTAAAAATTAATTTCATTGTATTTATACTGCAAAACTCAGCCCCATAATAAATTTAACTTCTAATCGCTGTCTCCCTTCATTTGACAGTTAAAATAAAATATGGGCATATAAATATAGATGCACAGAATAGACTTATTCTGGTCTCTTTCACCCAGCCTCTTAAATCAGCTTACTTTGTACCTTTCAGGCAGAACCCTGATCTCTATAAATATCCTCTTCCCTATTTAGCAAACCCTGATAATCCTGTGATCCCCTGTCCTCAGTAGTTGGATTAATATGATGCTGTATTATATTTGTACTTGTCTTCCCTATACCATGCTTGAAATGCCATTTATTGTTTTGCTGGAAGAAAACATTAGCTGAACTTTCCATTTCTCTGTAATTTCACTTAAAGGTGAAGCATCTGAAGTTATTATTTCCCAATAAGGAAAGTTACTCATTAGAAATGCAGAAGCACTGTATTCTACACTATTAGGTTAATAAAGTTTATCTATAGTTGGAATTTTTTTTTTTTTTTTTTTTTGAGACAGTCTAGCTCTGTGGCCCAGGCTGGAGTACACTGGCGTGATCTCAGCCTCAGCCTCCCAAGTAGCTGGGAATATAGGTGCCCGCCACCATGCCCAGCCAATGTTTTGTATTTTTAGTAGAGGTGGGGTTTCACCATGTTGGCCAGGTTGGTCTCAAACTCCTGGCCTCAAATGATCCGCCTGCCTCGACCTCCAAAAATGCTAGGATTACAGGCGTGAGCCACTGTGCTCACCCTTATAGTTAGAATGATTTCTTTTTCTTTCTTATCTGTGCTTTGCTCCTCTCCTTTTAAGGTGAATAAACGTTACGTTTCTCTCTTCTTTTTTTTTTTTTTTTGAGACAGAGTCTTGCACTGTCACCCAGCCCATACTGCAGTGGCCCGACCATAGTTCACTGGAGCCTCAAACTCTTAGGCTCAAGCCATCCTTCTGTCTCAGCCTCCTGAGTAGCTGGAACCACAGGGGCATACCACCACACCTGGATAATTTTTTTTTTTTTTTGGTAGGGATATGTGTCTAGTGTTTGTTGCCCAGGCTGATCTTGAATTCCTGGCCTTGAGCTATCCTCCTGCCTCGGCCTCCCAAAGCACTAGTATTATGGATGTGAACCACTGTGCCTGGCCTTGTTTTTCTCTTAATTCTTTAATTTCAAATGTAATTAGTGTGTAGAAAGCCTCTGCCTGAAAAAAAAAAACAAAAACAGCATTTTTAGTGATTTCTTTAAAAGAGACACATGAGGAAAAACCTAAAACATTAATTTTAAACTTTGAAAATATTTTATAGGCCGGGCGCAGTGGCTCACTCTTGTAATTCCAGCACTTTGGGAGGCCGTCATGAGCAGATTGCCTAAAGCCAGGAGTTTGAGACTAGCTTGGGCAACATAGTGAAACCCTATCTCTACTAAAAATACAAAAAATTAGCTGGGTGTGGTTGCACACATCTATAGTCCCAGCTACTCCGAAGGCTGAGGTGAGAGGATCACCTGAGTCTGGGAGGTTGAAGCTGTAGTGAATCATGATTTCGCCACTGTACTCCAGCCTAGGCATCAGGAGTGAGACCTTTTCTCAAAAAACCAAACAAACAAAACCAACATACATATATATGTATATATGGTTTTGTTTTTTGTTTTTGTTTTGAGATGGAGTTTTGCTTTTGTTGCCCAGGCTGGAGTGCAGAGACACAATCTTGGCTCACTGCAACCTCTACCTCCCAGGTTTAAGCAATTCTCCTGCTTCAGCTTCCCAAGTAGCTGGGGTTACAGGCATGTGTCACCACATCTGGCTAATTTTGTATTTTTAGTAGATACAGGATTTCACCATGTTGGCCAGGCTGGTCTTGAACTCCTGACCTCAGGTGATCCACCTGCCTCGGCCTCCCAAAGTGCTGGGATTACAGGTGTGAGCCACCACACACAGCCAAAAAAAAATTTTTTTTTAAAAATAGGAAACAGATCTTCCTTCATAATTTCTGCACTAAGCAGAAAATGCATGAGAAGAACTTTGCCTATATGTCATTTAATGTACTAATTTGATAAATTCCAGATGTTTTAGAATTTATTTTAAGAGGTAATGAGACCCCTTCTTTTCACTTACAATCAGGAACTCAGGATTAATAGTAAAATGAGTTTTCCTCTTCTTAACCTTTTTATGTCACCAGTCCCCTAAGGATCTCAGAATTTTAATTTTTACTTTTCTGAAAGGTGATATTATAAATGAGTGACTGCAATATAGCTAATAGAAACCAGGGAGACTTCTTATAAATATAGTTTTAAGAAGGAATGCTGTCAAAATATTCAAGACCAGATGAGATAAAAACAGCAAAAAAAGTCTTGCCTTTGGGTAGATCGCTTGAGTTTAGGAGTTTCAGACCAGCCTGGGCAACATGGTAAAACCCCATCTCTACAAAAAATACAAACTTAGCGGGGCGGGGTGGTGTGAGCCAGTAGTCCCAGCTACTGGAGAGGCTGAGGTGGGAGGATCGCTTGAGCCCAGGAAGTCGAAGCTGCAGTGAGCCGTGTTCACACCGCTACAATCCAGCCTAGGCGACAGAGGAAGACCCTGTCCCCCCAAAAAAAAGAAAAAGGAAAAAAAGTCTGGCCTTTTAAAAAGCCAGACTTTTGTTTGTTTCAAATCTATTCAATCTCTCGCCCCCAAATCTTTTGGCACAGAATTTGTCTAGCTTAGACTAAACCTTCCATTTTACTGCTGGAAAAAATTGAGGCATAGAGAGGTTAATGTGGTCCTTAGCAAGTCAGTACAAATACAGTACTAAAGTGGTAAACAAAGAGTCTCTGAGGCAGAAAGGAATTCTTAATAATTATGCGTATTTGCATATGATTGTCCAAAGATGCAATTGTTGAGAATTATTTCTCAGAAGTATCGTTTGATCTTAGTGAACAAACTGGTTTGAATTATTGCCTGGTACAATGTGAGTAACAAATATAACCGTTTTACATAATTCTAAGACTCAGTTTGAAGGAATTTCTTCTTGGGCTGGGAGATTAAATTATATGCCCTTTACACTCTGGGATTCTTTGACTCTTGTTCTAGCCATGTATCGTTAGAACAAAATTATCAGCTATAGCACAGAACAAATAACTTTCCTGTAAAGATGTTCTTAGGTTCTTAACTAAAAATCAACATAGTTTTTTTTGTTTGTTTGTTTGTTTTTTTTTGAGACAGTGTCTCACTCTGTTACCCAGAGTGGAGTGCAAAATACAGCTCACTGCAACCTTGACCTCCCAGGCTCAAGCAATTCTCTCACCTCAGCTTCCTGAGTACCTGGGACCACAGGCATGCGCTACCATGCCTAGCTTATTTGTTTTTTATTTTTTGTAGGGACAGGGTCTCACTATGTTGCCAGGGCTGGTCTTGAACTCCTGGGCTCAAGTAGCCCTCCTGCTTTGGCCTTCCAAAGTGCTGGGATTACATGCGTGAGCCACCACGCCCAGCAACATGCTTTATATTTCTATCCATAAAAAAATAATGAATAATGGCCAGGAGAGGTGGCTCATGCCTATTGCACTTTGGGAGGCCAAGGTGGGCGTATCATTGGAGGCCAGGAGTTCGAGACCAGCCTGGCTAACATGGCGAAACCCCATCTCTACTAAAAATATAAAAATTATCCAGGCCGGGTGCAGTGTCTCACGCCTATAATCCTAGCACTTTGGGAGGCCGAGGCGGGCGGATCACAAGGTCAGGAGACCGAGACTATCCTGGCTAACATGGTGAAACCCCATCTCTACCAAAAACACAAAAAAGTAGCCGGGCGTGATGGTGGGCGCCTGTGGTCCCAGCTACTTGGGAGGCTGAGGCAGGAGAATGGCGTGAACACAGGAGGCGGAGCTTGCAGTGAGCGGAGATCGCGCCACTGCACTCCGGCCTGGAGACAGGGAGACTCCGTCTCCAAAAAAAAAAAAAGACAGAGGCACTGGTATTACAGGTGTGAACCACTGTGCCTGGACTTGTTTTTCTCTCAGTTCTTTAATTTAAAATGTAATTAGTGTGTAGAAAGTCTCTGCCTGAAAAAAAAAAAGTATTTTTAGTTATTTCTTTAAAAGAGACACATGAGGCGGGAGGCTGAGGCAGGAAAATGGCGTGAACCTGGGAGGCGGAGCTTGCAGTGAGCCGAGATAGCGCCACTGCGCTCCAGCCTGGGCGACAGAGGGAGACTCTGTCTAAAAATAATAATAAATGAAAACAAGAAACAGAAATATTAGATTAACAGTAAAAAAAATCCTTAGTTAATTTTGGTTTTGTTTTGTTTTTTTGGTTTCATGGATGTCTTTTATGATTTCCTAACTTCTCTGTTGTACCAAATTTTTAATCTTAAAAAACACAGGTAATCTATAGCATGCACCTATCCTGTAGGGTCTTGTGAAAGATGATAGTAGAACATTTTTAATGAAGTAGAGCATTTATCTACTTCAGCTAACATTTTAGCTGAAATAGATAAAATCTTTTTTTTTTTTTTTTTCCCGAGACGGAGTCTTGCTCTGTTGCTCAGGCTGGAGTGCAGTGGCGCTATCTCAACTCACTGCAACCTCTGCCTCCCAGGTTCAAGCGATTCTCCTGCCTCAGCCTTTCAGGTAGCTGGGACTACAAGGCACTTGCCACCAAGCCTGACTAATTTTTTATATTTTTAGTAGAGACGGGGTTTCACCATGTTAGCCAAGATGGTCTCAATCTCCTGACCTCGTGATCCGCCCACCTCAGCCTCCCAAAGTGCTGGGATTGCAGACGTTAGCCACCGCGCCTGGCGATAAAATCTTTTTTAAAAATTTTTTCCATTTAATTTTTGTGGGTCCATGGTGTTACCTATTTGTAGGGTGCACAAGATGTTTTGATACAGGCATGCAATACGAAATGATGAAATAGATAAAATCGTTAACAGAGAGCCCAACTGTAATTTTATATAGCCTTTTTATATATTTTTGTATAACACCTTAAAATCTTGTGTTAACTTGGGTGTGTCATTCTATTTAATTCCATAAGTGTTATCTAGTGCCTGTTTAATAAATGCCAGCCATTGTAGCTCTTACCACAAGAAACTTTAGTAAAGGAGAAAAATACAAACATCAGTTACCTAGTTTGATATGATGTGTGTTCTGTTCTAAGTGTATATAAGGGGCTTTAGGAACACAGATGGGGTAGAGTTCACACTCCAAGGAGATTTGGGGTGACTGCTAAGCTAGATTGATAGAAGGAGCAGAAATAAGCCATGCTACTTATTAAGTTGCTGAATTTACTATAGCACTTCTACCAAAACTTGGAAAGAGGAAGCAAATGGAATAAGTGGTATTAGAGTGAAAAATAATAACATAAGCTCTCTATAACCAAGAACTTTTTTCAAGGAGAAGTTATTCTGATATCCAGTAATATCAAAGTCAGTGCTGTGCTTCCAGAGTAATCTGTCTCCTTTGTGGTTGTTCAAGGGCTTGCTCTCAATTTTGCGCAAGTTGAAAAGTGCACCAGACCAGGAGGTGAGAATACTTCTCCTGGGCTTGGATAATGCTGGCAAGACCACTCTTCTGAAGCAGCTAGCATCTGAAGATATCAGCCACATCACACCTACACAGGTGAGCACTACCTTGGCTCCAGATGCCGTGTGACACAGAAAGACGATAATAGCAATGTGAAAGACAAAATGGGAAATACTGTTTTGTCCACTTCCAAATTTTGTCTCTGAGAAAAGTCTATGCAATCTGAAGATAACCAGATTTCAAAAATATGTAAGAGATTCCATTCTCATGCGGTATTTAGAGTAGTCAGATTCATAGAGACAGAATGCAGAATGGTGGTTACTGGAGCTGGGGAGGGGGAATGGGGAGTTATTGTTTAACGGGTACAGTGAGTCAGTTTTGCAAGATGAAAAGAGTTCTGTGGATAATGACCCACAGTGTGAATGTATTTAATGCCATGGAACTGTACACTTTAAAATGGCTAAAATGGTACATTTTATGTTATAATGTTAAAATATGTACACGGACACACTTCACAGTGCCCACTTCATCAGGCTACCGCACTGCAGCATCTGCACCCCGCTGGGCTTCAGCCTCCACACATCACCTTTCAGCACATGCACCCCTCTTCCATATGTGCCCCTCCTTCCCCACCCACACATGTCCTCAGCAGCTGCATATTGTACATGTTATCTTACAATTTAAAATATATGTATACATATATACACGTGTGTGTATTTCTGTGTGTATAGACAAATCCAGCAGATTTAAGTGAGTACCTATATTCTTTTTATTTTTATTTTATTTCTTTAAATTATTTATTTATTTTTTGAGACAGAGTCTCGCTCTGTCACACAGGCCGGAGTGTGGTAGCGCAATCTTGGCTCACTGCAACCTCTGCCTCCCAGGTCCAAGCAATTCTTGGGCCTCGGCCTCTCTAATAGCTGGGACTACAGGTGCACGCCGCCATGCCCTGCTAATTTTTGTGTTTTTTTGTAGAGATGGGGTTTCACCATGTTGGCCAGGGTGGTCTCAAACTCCTAACCTCAATGATCCACCCACCTCAGCCTCCCAAAGTGCTGGGATTATAGGTGTGAGCCACCGTACCCGGCCTATTCTTTTTTAAAAATAGCTTTATCTTCTCTGATTATGAACGTAGTGCATGTAGAAAACACAGAAAAAGTATAAAGGAGAAAACTCTGAGAAAGACCATGGTTAATATTTTACTGTGTACAGGCCGGGCGCAGTGGCTCACGCCTGTAATCCCAGCACTTTGGGAGGCCGAGGCGGGTGGATCACAAGGTCAGGAGATCGAGACCATCCTGGCTAACACGGTGAAACCCCGTCTCTACTAAAAATACAAAAAATTAGCCGGGCCTGGTGGCGGGCACCTGTAGTCCCCGCTACTCGGGAGGCTGAGGCAGGAGAATGGCGTGAACCCGGGAAGTGGAGCTTACAGTGAGCCGAGATCATGCCACTACACTCCAGCCTGGGCGAATAGCGAGACTCCGTCTCAAAAAAAAAGAAAAAATTTTACCGTGTACTTTTCAGACTTAATAAATACAAATATGTATCAATTTTTAAAACAAAAAAAAAATTACCTGCTTTTTTTTTTTTCTCTCTTTTTTTTTTGGGAGACAGAATCTCGCTCTGTTTCCCAGGCTGGAGTGCAGTGGCGCGAGCTCAGCTCACTGCAACCTCTGCCTCCTGGGTTCAGGCGATTCTCCTGAGTAGCTGGGAATATAGGTGCACACCACCATGCCCGGCTAATTTTTTGTATTTTAGTAGATACCTGGTTTCACCACTGTTGCCCAGGCTGGTATCAAACTCCTGAGCTCAGGCAATCCGCCCGCCTCGGCCTCCCAAAGTGCTAGGATTACAGGCATGAGCTACCTTTCCCGGCCAATTACCTGCCTTTTTAAATCCAGTCTCATCAACCTTCCTTTTTCCTAAGAAGGGCAAGCAAGCAAAACATAAAGGATAAGGAAATGATGGTGCTCACAGCGTGGAGGTTTAAAGATGAGTCCTGGGCTGGGCGCGGTGGCTCACGCCTGTAATCCCAGCACTTTGGGAGGCCGAGGTGGGCAGATCATGAGGTCAGGAGATCAAGGCCATCCTGGGTAACACGGTGAAACCCTGTCTCTACTAAAAATACAAAACAATTAGCCAGGCATGGTGGTGGGCGCCTGTAGTCCCAGCTACTCAGGAGGCTGAGGCAGGAGAATCACTTGAACCTGGGAGGCCGAGGTTGCAGTGAGCCAAGATCGCACCACTGCACTCCAGCCTGTGCGACAGAGCGAGACCTTGTCTCAAAAAAAAAAAAAAGAAGAAGATAAGTCCTGATTGGAAAAACTGTAGTGGGTTTCTTAGAACTCATTCCCTGTAGGAAATCCTGAGAATGCCTGACCTTTGGCTAAGCCAACAGGGATAACTTGTTGGTCTTAGTCACTTTAAAGTGTTTGAGCATTAAAGGTTAGAGGTTTTAGCAAAACCAGAGTTATTTTCCATCACTGTACTGTGATAAGACCCTGGTGTCAGGTTTGAATGGCTGTGCTGGCGTGCATGCATACTTCATGGCCTATGAGTCTTACTGATTCACAACTCTTTGTGGAAAAGTCATTTCAACTGCTACCAAATGAACAATTTTACAGCTTCTGAACAAATTTAATGTATAGCCTGAGGAGGAGCAAATTACAGTAGTCTAGCCTAGAAGGGCTGAAAACACATATTAGTGTGTCAAGATTTCTGCCGGAAAAAGAAGCACTAGGTTTTGTGTGCCTTGCTTGTGGGTTTTCTTTTGTTTTTTTGGTTTTTTGTTGTTTTTTTTTTAGTATTAGCAATAAACTGTATCTCTCAAGAACACTAACATGAAGACTTCCACACTGCAAACACAGAAATAAACTCAAAGTTAGGAACCCAAAGTTCTCATTCTAAACTTCAGGCTTTGTTGGATGTGTTATAGGTGACTCTGATATTATATTGCATCAACATTTCATATTATTTAAAAACAAACTTTTATTATGTTTTTTGTTTTATATTTGAAAAAGTAATAAGTGCTTATTGTAGTAAATTTAGGAAGTATAAATAAATAAAATTGAGAAACTAGAAGTCACCTCTATATAATGCCCAGTCAGACATACCACTGTTCACATTTAGGAATGTATCAAGTTTTTTTCTATGCATATATATGATGGGTATATTTAAAATAAAAAATAAAAATGGCTCATAGAGGATATACTAGTTTGTATCATCTATATCTAGATATAGGTTTTTTTTAGAGACAGGGTTTCACTCTGTCGGCCAGGCTGGAGTACAGTGGCGCCATCCATAGCTCACTGCAGCCTCAATTCTTGGTATCAAGCAATCCTCCCACCTTAGGCTCCTGAGTAGTTAGGACTGCAGGCATGTGCCACCACACCCAGCTAATTTTTTTTTTTTTTTTTTTTTTTGGTAGAGATGGGGTCTCACTACATTGCCCAGGCAGACCTTGAACTCCTGGGCTCAAGCAGCCCTCCCACCTCAACCTCCCAAAATTGGGATTATGGGTGTGAGCCACTGAACCTGTCCCTTCTTGTTTACTTAATAATAGATCATGAACATCTTTCTGTTATTATGTATGTAAATGCTTATGTAATATACATCTCTAAATGTTTGTGCCCATTCATTATTGTTTCCTCAGAATAACTTCCTAGATTTGTTGGGTCTCATTACTTATAGACGTTTAAGCCCATTGATACATATGGTCAAATTCCAAGATTTACTGTTACTGTATTCCAAGATTTACTGTTATTTATTTTCTGCTTTATTCCAGAAAGGATTCAGTATTACTGAGTTTGACATTTAATATCATTGTTGAATATGAAATTTTAAAATATACTAAAGTAGTTTTGCCAGTGAGTCACAATGAAACTTTTTTCAATAAGCTTACACTATTTCCCTTTAGAATTCTTGAACTTCTAGGCCGGGCGCGGTGGCTCAAGCTTGTAATCCCAGCACTTTGGGAGGCCGAGACCGGCGGATCACGAGGTCAGGAGATCAAGACCATCCTGGCTAACACGGTGAAACCCCGTCTCTACTAAAAAGTACAAAAAACTAGCCGGGTGAGATGGCGGGCGCCTGTAGTCCCAGCTACTCGGGAGGCTGAGGCAGGAGAATGGCGTAAACCCGGGAGGCGGAGCTTGCAGTGAGCTGAGATCCGGCCACTGCACTCCAGCCTGGGCGACAGAGCCAGACTCCGTCTCAAAAAAAAAAAAAAAAAAAAAAGAATTCTTGAACTTCTAATGTATTCAGTCATTGGCGTATTAGAGAAGCGAGAGTCAGCAGGATCCCCATTTATCCTCCAGAGACTGTGTATCCTCAGTGGAAATTGGGTGGCAGTGTTCCTGTCCTATTGCACTGTGCCTTCTCCTTCTGTGCCAGGCAGCAGTGTTGACAGGCTACCACATGAAACAAATGTTTGTGGAGGCATCCCCAAATGTATCTATGGCTGAAATGTCTCTTCTGTGGTAGCAAGCTGTTGATTGGGTTTTTCTTTTTCTTTTTTTTTTTTTTTGAGACAGAGTCTCGCTCTGTCACCTAGGCTGGAGTGCAGTGGCACAATCTTGCAGTGGACTCACTGCAAGCTCTGCCTCCCAGGTTCACACCATTCTGCTGCCTCGGCCTCCCGAGTAGCTGGGACCACAGGTGTGCCCACCACCACGCCTGGCTAATTTTTTGTATTTTTAGTAGAGATGGGGTTTCACCAAGTTAGCCAGGATATTCTCGATCTCCTGACCTCGTGATCCGCCCGCCTTGGCCTCCCAAAGTGCTGAGATTAGAGGTGTGAGCCACTGCGCCCAGCCCTGATTGGGTTTTTCAAATCCTGGTTTCCCTATGTAATTTTTGCAAGAAGACTTTAAAAAAAAATTCTTGTTCATGAAATGCATTCTCTGGGAACCCCAAAGGGCTTGTTAATTTGTTTCCTTCCACACTGACCCCCAGCTGGCAATTCTGCCTGTCCCTGATTTGCTCACCTTCCTCAAAGTTTCACCTCAAGTAACTGTCTTAAAAATGAAGGCTTTCAGCCAGGTGCAGTGGCTCACACCTGTAATCCCAGCACTTTGGGAGGCTGAGGCAGGCAGATCACCTGAGGTCAGGAGTTTAAGACCAGCCTGACCAACATGGAGAAACCCTGTCTCTACTAAAAATACAAAGTTAGCCAGGCGTGGTGGTGCATGCCTGTAATCCCAGCTACTCGGGAGGCTGAGGCAGGATAATCACTTGAATCCGGGAGGCAGAGGTTGCAGTGAGCTGAGATCACACCATTGCACTCCAGCCTGGGCAACAAGAGCAAAAGTCTGGAAAAAAAAGACTTCCAGTCAGGCGCAGTGGCACATGCCTGTAATCCCAGTGTTTTGGAAGGCCAAGGTGGGCGGATCACGAGGTCAGGAGTTTGAGACCAGCCTGACCAATATGGTGAAATCCTGTCTCTACTAAAAATACATTAAATTAGCCGGACATGGTGGCAGGCGCCTGTAATTCCAGCTACTCGGGAGGCTGAGGCAGGAGAATCACTTGAACTTGGGAGGCGGGGGTTGCAGTGAGCCAAGGCCACGCCACTGCACTCCAGCCTGGGCAACAGAGCAAGACTTTGTCTCAAAAAAAAAAAAATGAAGACTTCCTTTTCAAGTTCAAGTTCATCAGAGTTGCCTATGAAAGCACTTTTTTTTTTGAGATAGAGTCTCGTTCTGTCACCCAGGCCAGAGTGCAGTGGCATGATCTCAGCTCACTGCAACCTCTGCCTCCTGGGTTCAACTGATTCTCCTGCCTCAGCCTCCTGAGTAGCTGGGACTCCAGGCATGTGCCTGGCTAATTTTTGTATTTTAGTAGAGACGAAGTTTCACCATATTGGTGAGGCTGGTCTTGACCTCCTGACCTCCTGATCCACCCACCTTGGCCTCCCAGAGTGCTGGGATTACAGGCATGAGCCACCGCGCCTGGCCTGAAAGCACAATTTTAAGTGACCACTTGTTTGTTTCCATCAGTGTCTGTAACTGAGGGCTCCACCTCCCTACTGGGCTGATATATTCGAGTTATAAACCCAGCCTCCCCCATAGCATCCTCAGTTCTGCTCTTTTTCCTGATTAATCCCTATAGGAAATTTATTTTGAGCTGCTCTTGAAGAATCTAATCCTCTAGATTTGTAGCTTTTGCCTCTTTAAATTTAGCTTGTGTTCTTTTCTGCTGAGTCTTCAGATTCAGCTTTTTTGTTGTTGTTGTTAGTTACATGAAATGTCCTGTTAAATTTTACTGTCCTGAAGCTTCATGGGCATGTGATGTGTGTTGATTAATTAGAGCTATTCTCCTTTGGAGTTATCCTCAGCAATTATATATGTATATATGTTCATTGTAGAAAAACATTATGTTAGTCTGACATTATTAACACTGACTCTACAACCTGGATGAGACAAGCATGTATAAATATGTTTCTTTATTCTCTGTCACAACAAACCATTTTCAGCATAACCAGTATCACATATGACAGAGTACTTTAGAATTAATAAAAAAAACATAGTTATTAAATGTAACTTTGTCAGAATTATGATCCCAAAGTTTAATAAAACTTGATGTTTTTGCTTCTGTTTCAGGGTTTCAACATCAAAAGTGTACAATCACAGGGTTTTAAACTGAATGTATGGGACATTGGTGGACAGAGGAAAATCAGACCATACTGGAGGAATTATTTTGAAAATACTGATATTCTTGTAAGTACTCCTTCTGATGCACTAATTCATAGTATTTTCTGCCATGTATTAGAAACATGGACACTGTAACATTCTTTCTTGTCAGTAATTCCACCACCATAACATTAATCACTGTGAATTTAGCAGGGATAGCAGAAGGCTGCAGATTATAAAGGGAAAACGTCTTTGTGTAACTTGTATAAGATGTTTTGCTGTCCCTCAGTAACAATGTTGTACCCACACCCGTCTTGGCAAAATAAAGTATTTATTAATTGCCATAGTGATTTGAATAGCAGAAGGGAAGTCAGAAGATCATGCCACTGACTGTCACCCCTAGGAAACAATGAATCAAGTGTATCACAAAGAGAGCAACCAAAATAGTGAAAATACTGGAAACCATGATGTATAAGGAGTGGTTGAAAGACCTGACAGTGTTCTTCCTAGAAAAGAGAACACTGGGAACTGTCTAGGCAGCTTCAAGAATTATCTTAAGTCAGAGGGATTGAATAGTTCTAGAGGGTTGAGCCAAGAGCAAGATGGGGAATATTAGGTGGTAGAATGTAATTCAGAATAAAGAAGAAGTTTCCTATAATTACAGTTGTCCAGAAGTAGAAGAAGCTGCCTCATAATTGGGAATACTTTGACGCAGGGAGCATTCATTCAGCTGGAGGCCAATATTTTAGCTCCCAGCTCACTGTCATTTCCTTTAGGACCACTACTGACTGTTTCAGAATTCTTGGAGATTTCACTGTCCACATATATGATTTCCACAAAACTCCAGCCTCTCAGTTCCTTCACCTGCTCTCCTCCAATGATCTTGTCATCTACTCTGCCTCAGCCACATACTCTCATAATCATACCCTAAAACTAGGGGAACTCATGAACTTAGATGGGAGAAAAATTGCATGTCACTTTTACTAACCTCTAACCAAAAGTTTGCATTTACATCAGTTATGATGCAAGGCAGTAAACTGCAATAATAGCAGCCATATCTATGTATTTATTACTAGTAGAAATCATCTAGACCAGGTGTGGTGGCTCATGCCTGTAATCCCAGCACTTTGGGGAGGCTGAGGCGGGAGGATCGCTTGAGCCCAGGAGGCAGAGGTTGCAGTGAACCCAGATCGAGATCGGGCCACCCCACTCCAGCCTGGAAGACAGAGTTATACTCTGTCTTAAGAAAAGAAAAAAAAAGAAATCATCTTGCATCTCAAAACAGCTTCACCCTCTGCTGTTGTTTCTTAAGTGTCTCTCTCTTCTGGGTCATTCCCATCAACATAAACATATCCTGTAGCTTCTCTTGCTTAATAAAGAAAAAATAAGCCCCAGAAAACTCCTCCTGACCATACATCCCCCTCCAATACTGTCCCATTCCTCAGCCTCCCTTTATAGCAGAACTTCTTGAAAGCGTTTCCTACGCTCTCTGTCTTTGCTTTATCTCCTCCCAGTTACTCTTGAGCCTTCTATTCAGGCTCACTGATAATTCCACATTGCTAAAAATAGGGTTCAGGTTTCAGTACTCATCTCACTTGACCTATCAGCCCATTTAACATTGGTAATGCTGTCTTTGAAACATTGTCTTTACTTGGCTTCCAAGACACCATTCTATCTTGGTTTTCCTCCTCGCTGGCTACTTCTCCTAAATCTCCATTGCTATTTTTTTAAATCTCCCAACCTCCAAATGTTTGAGAGCCCCAGAGTCCTTGTGTTTTTCTTCTCTGAGTTACTGCTTAGGTGACCTCATCTAATTTGAAGGATTTAACGACCACTTAGATACTTATGAATCTCAAACCATCATCTCTAGCCTGGAATTCTCCCCTGAACTTGAGTTTCATATACAGTCATGTGCCACATAATGACACTTGGGTCAGTGACTGACCTCATAAATGATAGTGGTCCCTTAAGATTATAATAGAGCTGCCGGGCTCAGTGGCTCACGCCTGTAATCCCAGCACTTTTGGAGGCCAAGGCGGGTGGATCAGGAGGTCAGGAGTTCAAGACCAGCCTGGCCAAGATGGTGAAACCACGTCTCGACTAAAAATACGAAAATTAGCTGGGCGTGGTGGTGGACGCCTATAATCCCAGTTACTCGGGAGACTGAGACAGAGAATTGCTTGAACCTGGGAGGCAGAGCTTGTAGTGAGCCAATGTTTTGCCACTGCACTCCAGCCTGGATGACACAGCAAGACTCTTTCTCAAAAAAAAAAAAAAAGAGAGAGTTGAAAATTTTCTATTACCTAGTGACACAGCTGTCATAACACATTACCTTGTATGTGTTTAGGTACATAAATATTTACCATTGTTTTACAGTTGCCTGCAGTATTCAGTACAGTAACTTGGTGTACAGGTTTGTAGCCTGGGGCAATAGGCTATGCCATACAGCCTAGGTGTGTAGTAAACCATCTAGGTGTGTGTAAGTACACTGTATGATGTTGGCACCATGTCAGAATTGCCTAATAATGCATTTCTCAGAACATGTCCCTGTCATTAAGCAACACATGACTATATAAGCCAGCTGCCTATTTGACATCTCTACTTCAGGGGCTGGTAAGGCCTCATCCTCAACGTGTCTAAAACCAAATTCCTGTTTTCATCCTACTCAACCCTACTCTTCCCACAGTCTTCTCAGTAAATGGTAGTCCCATTCCTCCAGAAACAATGCAGTCATTCTTGGCTCCCTCTCCTCTCACTCCCCACATCTGATCTATCAGCAAATTATTTGTACCTGTTGCCATCAGACATATTTTTATTTATTACCTTTCTCTCACACTGGAAGGTAAGCTCCGTAAGGACAGGAATTTTTGCATTCTAAAAAACTGTTGGCCCGGCGGGGTGGCTCACGCCTGTAATCCCAGTACTTTGGGAGGCCGAGGTGGGCAGATCATGAGGTCAGGAGATCATCCTGGCTAACACAGTGAAAGTCTGTCTCTACTAAAAATACAAAAAATTAGCCGGGTGTGGTGGTGGGCGCCTGTTGTCCCAGCTACTCAGGAGGCTGAGGCCGGAGAATGGCGTGAACCCAGGAGGCGGACCTTGCAGTGAGCCGAGATCGCGCCGCCGCACTCTAGCCTGGGTGACAGAGTGAGACTCTGTCTCAATTTAAAAAACTAAAATAAGGCTGGGCATGGTGGTCATCCAGCCTGGGCAACAAGAGTGAGACTCTCTCTAAGATAAGATAAGATGAGATAAGAAAAGAATAGGTTGAGATAAGATAAGGTGAGATAAGATAATATTCTTTTAAATCAGAAAAAAAACAAAACAAATAAAAATAAATAATCTTTTAAATCAGGCCGGGTGCGGTGGCTCATGCCTGTAATCCCAGCACTTTGGGAGGCCACAGCGGGCAGATCACCTAAGGTCAGGAGTCTGAGACCAGCCTGACCAACATGGAGAAACCCCATCTCTACTAAAAATACAAAATTAGCTGGGTGTGGTGGCACATGCCTGTAATCCTAGCTACTTGGGAGGCTGAGGTGGGAGAATCGCTTGAACCCAGGAGGTGAGCCAAGATCGTGCCATTGCATTCCAGCTAGGGCAACAAGGGCGAAACTCCATCTCAAAAATTAAAAAAAAACTTTTAAATCAACAAGGAAACACTTAGAACTAATAAGTAATTACACCAAGGCTGCAGGATATAAGGTTAATATGTACAAGTCAGTTGCTTTCCTTTTTATCAGCAGTGAACAATTGAAATTTGAAATTAATAGCAAAATACTATTTAGCACCCCCAAAATGAAATGCTTAGGCATAAATCTAACAAAATACATTCAGGACCTGTTTGAGGAAACCTGCAAAACTAATAAAGAAGATCTAGGTAAATAAAGAGATGGTCCATGCTCATGGATAGGAAAACTCAGTATTATTAAGATGTCAGTTATACCCAACTTGATTTATAGATTTAATACAATCCCAATCAAAATCACAGCAAGTTACTTTGGGGATATTGACAAACTGATTCTGATGTTTATATGGAAAAGCAAAAGATTTAGATGACTAGTATAGTACTGAAAAGGAACAAGTTAGAGGACTGGCACTACCTGACTTCAAGATTCACTGTAAAGCAAGTAAACGACAGCATAGGCCGGGCGCAGTGGCTCATGCCTGCAATCCCAACACGTTGGCAGGCTGAGGCATGCGGATCACCTGAGGTCAGGAGTTCAAGAGCAGTCTGGCCAATGGGGTGAAACCCCATCTATATTAAAAATACAAAAACTAGCCAGGTGTGGTGGCAGGCACCTGTAATCCCAGCTGCTCGGGAGACTAAGACAGGAGAATCGCTTGAACCCAGGAGGCGGAGATTGCAGTAAGCCAAGATTGCACCATTGCACTCCAGCCTGGGCAACAAGTGTGAAATTCCGTCTCAAAAAAAAAAAAAAAAAAAGACAGCATGCCTCAGAGAAAGAGTAGACAAATTGATCAACAGAACAGAATGGAAAGCCCCAAAATAGGCTTACATGAATATGGCCCACTCTCTTTGACAAAAGAACATGACAATTCAAGGGAGGAAGGATAATCTTTTCAGCAAGTGGTGCTGGAATAATGGGACAGCGACATGCAAAAAAAAAAAAAAGAATCTAGACCCATCCTTACCCCTTAACTTAAAATGTTAAAATGGATTTTTTTTCCTTCTACCTGAGGCCCTTGACAAAATGGATCTTAAACCTAACTGTAAAATCCAAACACTATAAAACTCCTAGAAGATAACATAGAAGAACATCTAGGTGACCTTGAGTTTGGTGATGAGGTTTTAGATACACAAAAAGCATAATCCATGAAAGAAATAAATTGGACTTAAATGAATTTAAAACTTCTGGAAGCTGGGTGTAGTGGCTCATGCCTGTAATCTCAGCCCTTTGGGAGGCCGAGGTGGGAGGATGCTTTGAGTCCAGGAGTTCAAGACCAGCCTGCACAATATACTGTGACCCTGTCTCTACAAAAAATAAAAAAAAAAAATTAGCCAGGCATAGTGATGTGGACCTGTAGTCCCAGCTACTCGGGAGACTGAGTTGGAAGGATCACTT